TATTATTATTATTATTATTATTACTATTTTTTTTTCAGGAATAGATATAAAAGACGTTTCCGATGACGTACCTGTTTAAATACTCCCCAAAAAAAACGATTATTATTATCGTAAATTAAATAAACGATTATTTTATCAGTCGTAAAAATTTATAAGTTTTTTTTTGTTTTCGATCGATGTTCGGGGATTGGGGGGGGGAGGATAGATTCCATGTTTTTTTTAATAAATAAAGAATGATGAAATTATTATTATTATTATTTGATTAGTTTGTGTTTGTGAGATTTGTTGTTCTCGTGATTTTTTTTTTTTTTTTGTTCGAAACGTGACGAGTGTAAAGAAATCTTTTAATTTTTTTTTTTTTCTTTTTCTCAGTATTATTGTCTGCAACTTTGTAATTAAATGTCGCACATTTAATGAGGGCATGGAAAATTAAATGGCTATTGAATATAATGTAACGTAACGGTCATAATGGGGGACTCGACGTGACTCTTTATACAAACATGAAGCAGCTGATGCTCACAATAATAATAATAATAAGTTACAATTTACTCATTTTCTTACTTTATTATTGTTATCGGAGTCATAAACATGTTTGTTAAACGTTTTTTCTCCATTTTTCTCTCTCTCTCTCTCTTTTTACATAACTAAAATGCAATCAACCTTAGGATTACTTTTTCCTTCTTCTTATTATTATTAATTATTAATGAGTAAAAAAAAAAAAAAAGATATATATATAAATATGATTTCGACAAAATATATATCAAATATAAATAACTTTTTTAAAAACAGAAAAAAAAATTATGCATGCATTTCACGTGATATAAAAAAAAAAAAAATGGAGATTTGCCCGTATTAAAAAAAAAAAAAATTATATTTTGATGTGATGCCAAATTATTATTATTATTATTATTTAGTTGAATTAATAATAAAAATAATGATAAAACATCAGGTAATGTGTAAAGTTTTGCAATGATTATGATTATGATGATGATTATGGCGATGGAAAGAACACAAACGATAAAACTAATTGCTGCAAAAAAAAAAAAAAAAAAAAAAAAACTAAAAACTAAATATAAGCCTTTGTGACTCCGGTCCTGAGTAACAATTAATAAAAGAAAGGTTTTAAATATATATATGGTGGGTCAAAGTTGAAGTAATAATTTATTACATCCAACTCAGTTAATTACTATCAGAGTCTAAATTAAACGCTTGTTTTGACTATGGTTTAATGCGTTTCATACTAAAGAGATTGGCGAGTTCTAGTAGATTATCTTTTTCCTCTCGGTTATATCTCCCCACACCCTCCCCCCACAAAAAAAAAGAAAATTTTCATCCAGTTTTAAATTATATATATAACACTTTGTCCTCGTCAAAAAATGAAGAACCTTTTTTTTTTTAAAAAGAGTAACGGTCAATTCTTTTTAGTTACACTACCGAATTTTTAATTGTTTAAATAATATTTTGGTTTCGAGTGTGTGCGTGTGCGTGTGCGTGTGCGTTTGTGGACGATATGGAATACTTTTCAAAAAAAAAAAAATTAATCGAGGAGTGTTTGAGTGCGTGCACATGCGTGTGTCGGTGCGTGTGTGTGTGTGTGGAGTCGAAAAAAAAGAAAAAAGAGAGCGAGAAATAATATAACTGAAATCAAAATATGGTGTAAAATTATAATATCGAATAAAACCTATTTTTTTTTTTTTTTTTTTTTTTTTTATGGCTGCCCCCCTTTGAAATTAGTCATAAATCATCGGTTAGAGTTTATATGTGACATTAAGTGACGTTCATTTTAATTGGATATGCCTCGGGATTTCACAAATCAAACTGTAATAACCATATTAATAAATTTTCATTTGATTGTTACACGGAATTTTAATCGTTCGACTATGAATCCTTTTTTTTTTATTATTATTATTATTTTATTTTATTTTATTTTATTTTTGTACGTCTATTTTAATTTTTAAATGTTTTAAAAAAAAAAAATAAAATAAAATAAAAATCAATAAAATTATTTGCAAAAAAAAAAACTTTAAAAATTTTTTTTTCTATTGGTTCTTCTTATACATAATAAATAAATAAATAAATAATTTTTTTATATATAAATTATTAATTTAAATTTTTTTTTTTTTTTTTTAACAATAAGGAAACGTGTTGACCCAACCCAAAAATAATAATAATAATAATAATAAAAAACTCGCGACCTTTTGAAATTTTATAAAAAAGCGAATCAAAAAAAAATTTTTTTTTTCTGGAATTGAATAAGTTAATAATATTATTTATTGATTGCTGGAAGGAAATTTCTTAAATTATTATCAAAAATATATTTTTTTTTTTTTTTTTTTTTTTGAAACAAACGTAATAATTCATCATCACCCACATGATATTTAGGACCTTACAACTTAATCCAACATTTAAAACAACAACAACAACAACAACATACGTTTATTATAAACAAACTTTTTTTTTTTTTTTTTTTTTTTGCAATTCATTAAATATTATTAAAACCTTTTATAACAAAAAAAAAAAAAAAAAAAAAACACGTCAAAACATTTTAAAATTATCATTATTTAAAATACGATAATTTTATTACCTAGTATTTTTATTATTATTATTATTTAGTATTAGAAAAAAAAAAAAGAATAATGATAACGGATACGATAAAAAATTATATTATAATACGTATCAAGTTTCACATAAAAGTTTTTTTTTTAAAAAAAATAATTTATTTGCAAAAACTAAAGTGATAATAATAATAATAATAATAAGTTTATCTGTTGCAAGTTTAAAATAAAATAAAATAAAAGGTTTAAAAAAAAAAAAAAAACAAATTAAAATAAGTGGTGGTGGTGTACAGGTAGAGAGAGAGAGAGGTAAGAGGAATAAGAAGAAGCGTGGAGAATAGTCGAAAAGGTACGAATGGCTAGTTGAACTTTGACACCTTCATCATTTATCCCTGAACTATCACACCTTCCACTTTATCTTTATATATATATAAATTCATATAAGAATTTTAAGAAATAAACTTTTATCATTTTTCGTCTGCTAGAAAGAGAGAGAGAGAGAGAGAGAAACACTTGCATTCGATTAATAATTATAATTTTGATTAGATTTTTTTTAAAAAATAAATTATTGAGATTTTATGTGGTAAAATTAATAATACGTGAAGCAGAAGAAAAAATGATTAATGTAATTAAAATATTTTATTTATTAATTTTAATAAATTAGTTTAATAAAAGAGTTTTTCATCGAAAAAAAAAAGAAGAAGAAGAAAAACGAACGTCTTTGTCATTCAGTTGTCTTATTTTTTATTTAAATAACAAAAAAAAATTTTTTTTTCTTCAAGGTTTTATCGATTTAAATTTTTAATTAATATAATTAATTATAATTTAAAATTATTAATTGTAACTTTCAAATATTAATATTATTCATGGTCAAAAATTTTTTATTCTCCCTAAAATTTATATAAATGCAAATTTTGTTGACGTCACAGAAGAGAAAAAAAAAAAATGTAATTATTATAAGTTTGTATATATATATAAATAAAATAAGAATAAGAAAAGTCCAAAATTATAAGAAAAAAAATAATAATATTGATGATGATGATATGGGTATGGCCAACGTGAAAACCTCGAGGCCATCATCAGACAATTAACGGACATTCACGATTGAAAGCCATTAAGGAGGTCAGGAGGGGTGTGGGAAGAAGGAAAGTTCGCTTCCAGTTGATGAAAATGATTGATGCCTGAATTTTTTTTTTTTTTTTTTTAATCATTATGATTGAAACATTAGACCGGGGTGGTCACCTTTGAGCTTTTTTTATTTATTTTTATTTTTTTTTTTTTCGTAAAATTTTTTTCCCCTTAATTGTTTTTTTTTTTTTTTTTTTTTAAATTATGACGCGTAAAAAGAAAAGTATTTAACTGCCAATACTTTTTTTTTTATATCGGGATTTATATATATATATAATATTTAATGCTTTCCTTAAAGTATAAATTATGTTTAAAATTTATA